AAGTGATCTACCTGTCTCAGCCTCCCAAAGTTCTGGGATTACAGGTGTGAGCCACCATGCCCAGAAAAAAAAAATTTGTCTCACTCTCTCGCCCAGACTGGAGTGCAGTGGCATGATCTTCACTCACTGCAACCTCCGCTTCCCAGGCTCAAGCAATCCTCCCACCTCAGCCTCCCAAATAGCTGGGACCACAGGTGTATACCACCAGGACTGCCTAGTTTTTTTGTATTTCTGTTAGAGATGGGGTTTTGCCATGTGGACCAGACTGGTCTCAAACTCCTAGGCTCAGGTGATCTAAATGCCTTGGCCTCCCAAAGTGCTGGGACTACAGGCCTGAGCCATCACACCTGGCCAAACCTTTTAAAATTTAATGGGTACTATTCACAGTAGCAAAGACATAGAGTCAACCTAAATACCCATTAACGGTAGACTAGATAAAGAAAATGTGGTATGTATATACTACGGAATACTATGCGTGCATAAAAAAGAACAAGATCATGTCCTTTGCAGGAACATAGATGGAACTGGAGGCCACATTATCTTTAACAAACTAACACAGGAACAGAAAACCAAATACAGCACGTTCACTTGTAAGTGGAAGCTAAATAATGAAAACACATGAACAGAAACAGGGGAACAATGGACACTGGGGCCTACTTGAAGGAGGAGGGAGAGAGAAGGGAGAGGTTTAGGAAAAAAAACTGTTGGGTACTGTGCTTAGAGCCCGGTGATTAAATAATCTGTACAGCAAACCCCTAAGTCACCAGTTACCTATGTACCAAACTGGCACTTGTGCCCCTAAACTAAAATAAAGGTTAATTTTTTTTTATTTAATGGGTGACAAAACTTTGCCATACACTCACCAACAATGAATATCATCATTTTAAATTAACCTTTTATTTTGCGGTAATTGTAGATTCACATGCAATTGTAAGAAAGCACGCAGAAGGGTGGGCACAGTGGCTCAAGCCTATAATCCCAGCACTTTGGGAGCCTGAGGCAGGTGGATCATGAGGTCAGGAGTTCAAGACCAGTCTGGCCAAGATGGTGAAACCCCATCTCTACTAAAAATACAAAAATTAGCCGAGTGTGGTGGCAGCCGTAAGTAATCTCAGCTATTCGGGAGGCTGAGGCAGAAGAATTGCTTGAACCTGGGAGGCAGAGGCTGCAGTGAGCCAAGACTGCACCACTGCACTTCAGCCTGGGTGACAGAGTGAGACTCTGTCTCAAAAAAAAAAAAAAAAAGGAATGTTATAGAAATGAAATTATACATTATGTAATCTATTGGAATTGGTTTTTGTCACTCAGCATAACTCTCTAAGGATTCATCCAGGTTGCTGCGTTTATCAATAGTTCATTCCTTTTTATTGCTGAGTATTATTTCATGCTATGGCTGTACCAATCTGTTTGTTCATCCATTAATAGAATCTGGCTGCACGCGGTGGCTCATGCCTGTAATCCCAGCACTTTGGGAGGCTGAGGCAGGAGGATCACTTGATGTCAGCAGTTCAAGACCAGTCTGGCCAATATGGTGAAAACCTGTCTCTATTAAAAATACAAAATTAGCCAAGCGTGCTAACAAGTGCCTGTAATCCCAGGTACTTGGGAGGCTGAGACACAAGAATGGCTTTGAACCCAGGAGGCAGAGATTGCAGTGAGCGGAGATCGAGCCATTGCACTCCAGCCTGGGCGATATAGTGAGACTCTGTCTCAAAAAAAAGCTGAAACAATAGGAAATTGGCTATATCAATTGCAATATATCCATAGGCTAGAATATTCGTTGCTAGAGAGGCTGCATAAGGCCAGACTAAGATGCCTGGACCTTCTCCTGAGAGCAGCAGTCTCTAAAGTTTTGTTCATCTGAACCTAACAGTACACAGATTAGCAAATATCTCATTAGCTGGTATCTTGAAGTACAATATACAGTTAGGATGAGATTCATCATTAATTAGTAAGGAGGCATGTAAATTCATACACATACACACACACACACACACACACACCACACACATATTTTTTGAGACAGAGTCTTGCTCTATTGCCCAGGCTGGAGTGCAGTGGCACAATCTTGGCTCACTGTAACCTCTGCCTCCTGGGTTCAAGCAATTCCCCTGCCTTAGCCTCCCAAGTAGCTGAGTTTACAGACGTGCACCACCATGCCCAGCTAATTTTTGTATTTTTAGTAGAGATGGGGTTTCATTATGTTGGCCAGGCTGGTCTCAATCTCCTGACCTCAAGTGATCCACCCACCTTGGCCTCCAAAAGTGCTGGGACTACTGGCGTGAGTCACCATGCCCAGCCTGTAAATTCATATTTCAAAGTGTCTTTTTCATCATTTTTTTCTAAAATTTTATTACATTCCTTACAACATGGCTGACAAAGACCAGCATTCATACCAGAAAGAGGAGACCTGTCAGCTGTGTCCTTTTCTACTTTTTTGCTATGCTGATAATTTTCCAAGCATCTGGAATTTGCCATTTCTTTGCAGGAATATTTTGAAGCCATTTGTCTGTTTTGTAGGACAACCTAGTAACATGATCCTCATGTTCAGTTAGACTAACACGACTCACCACACACTACAGTGCACTGCAGAAGAATGCTGAAAGGGATGTGTGAGGACCCTGATGCCCACCTCCCAGGCGTGGACCCTCATTCCCTCAGGAAGTCTCTGCTTGACACGGGCCCTCATGACAATGGCCCTCAGACAGAGGTCAGATGTACAGATCAAGTGAGGCCAACACGTTTATTATATCATAGAAGAGCTCAATTCTTTGTTCATTTTTAGGTTATAAAATGAATTGAGGCTGGGCACGGTGGCTCACTTCTATAATCCCAGCACTTTGGGAGGCCGAGGCGGATCACCTGAGGTGGGGAGTTCGAGACCAGCCTGACTAACATGGTGAAACCCTGTTTCTATTAAAAATATAAAATTAGCCGGGCGCGGTGGCTCACGCCTGTAATCCCAGCACTTTGGGAGGCTGAGGCGGGTGGATCACGAGGTCAAGAGATCGAGACCATCCTGGTCAACACGGTGAAACCCCGTCTCTACTAAAAATACAAAAAATTAGCTGGGCATGGTGGCGTGTGCCTGTAATCCCAGCTACTCAGGAGGCTGAGGCAGGAGAATTGCCTGAACCCAGGAGGCGGAGGTTGCGGTGAGCCGAGATCGCGCCATTGCACTCCAGCCTGGGTAACAAGAGCGAAACTCCGTCTCAAAAAAAAAAAAAGAAATAGAAGATCTAATGTTTTCCTACTATACCTTAATGAATGGTCTTGTGATCACACCAGCTGTGTAGACCACTGTTTTAGGCAGCAAGAACCCAATGAATAGTTTTTTTTTTTTTGAGACAAGGTCTTGCTCTGTTGCCCAGGCTGGAGTGCAGTGGTACAACCTTGGCTCACTGCAACCTCTGCCTCCTAGGTTCAAGTGATTCTCCTGTCTCAGCCACCTCAGTAGCTTGAATTACAGGCATGCACTACCACACCCAGCTGATTTTTGTATTTTTATTAGAGACAGGGTTTCGCCATGTTGGCCAAGCTGGTCTCAAACTCCTGTTTTTAAGCGATCCACCTGTCTCGGTCCCCCACCCCCAAGTGCTAGTACTACAGGTGTAAGCCACTGTGCCTGGCCGATAGTTTTTAAGGAGGAGGAAGATATGGGCAGCTTTGTGTTTTTGACTCTGGCTATAAGGGTGCAGATGGATGGGGCATGGGTAGGATGCATGCTTAGAGACCAGTGAGGAGGCTGGTGCACTAGTCCAGGTGAGAGATGGCAAAGGATGAGATCAGGTAGTTGGCTGTGGGGTAGAGAGAAGGGGATGGATTTGAGAGCTCTTTTGATGATAAAGTGGGTAGTTACTGGGGGAAGGGCAGTGCCAGCCAGTCAATGAAATGAAGCACACAAGATGTAGTGGAAAAAGATAAGGGTGCCTACATCCACCTCTTCTGTTTACCATTGTACCAGATGTCTAGCCAATGCAGTCGAGTAGGAAAAAAAAAAGGTGTCAGGATTGGAAAATAAGGAACAAAATTGTCGTTACTCACCATGATATGATTGTATACATGGTTAATACAAAACAATTTATAGACAAGAGTTCATCAATGCTATAAAAATAGATTAATCTACTAAAATCAATTCATTTCTATACATCTGCCACAGATATCTAAAAATGAAAATTAAAAAAAATTATTAATTTCTTTTGAGACAGGGTCTTGCTCTGTTACCCAGGCTAGAGTACAGTGGCATGACCTCGGCTCACTGCAACCTCTGCCTCCTGAGTTCAAGTGATTCTCCTGCCTCAGCCTCCCTAGTAGCTGGGACTACAGGTGTGCACCACCACACCCAGCTAATTTTTTATATTTTTGGTAGAGATGGGGTTTCACCATGTTCGTCAGGCTGGTCTCCAACTCCTGACCTCATGATCTGCCTGCCTTGATCTCCCAAAGTGCTGAGGTTATAGGCATGAGCCACTGTGCCCAGCCTATGTATAAAGGTCCTAAACATATTTTATAACATTTATTTCCTTTTTTTTTTTTTTTTTAGACGGAGTTTCGCTCTTGTTACCCAGGCTGGAGTGCAATGGCGCGATCTCGGCTCACCGCAACCTCCGCCTCCTGGGTTCAGGCAATTCTCCTGCCTCAGCCTCCTGAGTAGCTGGGATTACAGGCACGTGCCACCATGCCCAGCTAATTTTTTGTAGTTTTAGTAGAGACGGGGTTTTACCATGTTGACCAGGATGGTCTTGATCTCTTGACCTCGTGATCCACCCGCCTCGGCCTCCCAAAGTGCTGGGATTACAGGCGTGAGCCACCGCGCCTGGCCGTTACATTTATTTCTAAGTGATTTTTTTTTTTTTGAGACAGATTCTCATTCTGTCACCAGGCTGGAGTGCAGTGGTGCAATCTCAGCTCACTGCAACCTCCATCTTCTGGGTTGAAGCAATTCTCCTGTCTCAGCCAACATGGTGAAACCCCATCTCTACCAAAAATATAAAAATTAGCCGGGTGATCGATAAGAAACTTCGGAACCTGGAGAAGAAAAAGGGTAAGCTTGATGATTACCAGGAACGAGTGAACAAAGGGGAAAGGCTTAATCAAGATCAGCTGGATGCCGTTTCTAAGTACCAGGAAGTCACAAATAATTTGGAGTTTGCAAAAGAATTACAGAGGAGCTTCATGGTACTAAGTCAAGATATTCAGAAAACAATAAAGAAGACAGCACGTTGGGAGCAGCTGATGAGAGAAGAAGCTGAACAGAAATGTTTAAAAACTGTACTTGAGCTGCAGAATGTTTTGGACAAACCAGGAGATGATGAAGTGCGAACTGACCGGAAACAAGGTTTGAATGGAGTGCCAATATTGTCTGAAGAGGAATTGTCACTGTTGGATGAATTCTGTAAGTTAGTAGACCCTGAATGGGACATGAGCTTGAGGTCGAATGAACAGTATGAACATGCCTCCATTCACCTGTGGGACCTGCTGGAAGGGAAGGAAAAATCTGTATGTGGAACCACCTATAAAGTTCTAAAGGAAATTGTTGAGCGTGTTTTTCAGTCAAACTACTTTGACAGCACCCACAACCACCAGAATGGGTTGTGTGAGGAAGAAGAGGCAGCCTTAGCACCTACAGTTGAAAACCAGGTAGCTGAAGCTGAACCTGAGCCAGCAGAAGAGTACACTGAGCAAAATGAAGTTGAATCAACAGAGTATGTAAGTAGACAGTTCATGGCAGAAACACAGTTCACCAGTGGTGAAAAGGAGCAGGTAGATGAGTGGAGAGTTGAAACAGTTGAGGTGGTAAATTCACTCCAGCAGCAACCTCAGGCTGCATCCCCTTCAGTACCAGAGCCCCACTCTTTGACTCCCGTGGCTCAAGCAGATCCCCTTGTGAGAAGACAGTGAGTACAAGACCTTATGGCACAGATGCAGAGTCCCTATAATTTCATACAGGATTCAATGCTGGATTTTGAAAACCAGACACTTGATCCTGCCATTGTATCTGCACAGCCTATGAATCCAGCACAAAACATGGACATGCCCCAGCTGGTTTGCCCTCCAGTTCATTCTGAATCTAGGCTTGCTCAGCCTACTCAAGTTCCTGTACAACCAGAAGCCACACAGGTTCCTTTGGTGTCATCCACAAGTGAGGGGTATACAGCGTCTCAACCCCTGTACCAGCCTTCTCATGCTACAGAGCAACGACCACAGAAGGAACCAATCGATCAGATTCAGGCAACAATCTCTTTAAATACAGACCAGACCACAGCATCATCATCCCTTCCTGCTGCTTCTCAGCCTCAAGTATTTCAGGCTGGGACAAGCAAACATTTACATAGCAGTGGAATCAATGTAAATGCAGCTCCATTCCAATCCATGCAAACAGTGTTCAATATGAATGCCCTAGTTCCTCCTGTTAATGAACCAGAAACTTTAAAACAGCAAAATCAGTACCAGGCCAGTTATAACCAGAGCTTTTCTAGTCAGCCTCACCAAGGAGAACAGAGCTTCAGCAAGAACAGCTTCAAACAGTGGTGGGCACATACCATGGTTCCCCGGACCAGTCCCATCAAGTGACTGGTAACCACCAGCAGCCTCCTCAGCAGAACACTGGATTTCCATGTAGCAGTGAGCCCTATTACAATAGCCGTGGTGTGTCTCGTGGAGGTTCCCGTGGTTCTAGAGGCTTGATGAATGGATACCGGAACCCTGCCAATGGATTCAGAGGAGGATATGATGGTTACCACCCTTCATTCTCTAACATTCCAAACAGTGGTTATACACAGTCTCAGTTCAGTGCTCCCCGGATTACTCTGGCTATCAACGGGATGGATATCAGCAGAATTTCAAGTGAAGCTCTGGGCAGAGTGGACCACGGGGAGCCCCACGAGGTTGCGGAGGTCCCCCAAGACCCAACAGAGGGATGCCGCAAATGAACACTCAGCAAGTGAATTAATCTGATTCACAGGATTATGTTTAATCGCCAAAAACACACTGGCCAGTGTACCATAATATGTTACCAGAAGAGTTATTATCTATTTGTTCCCCCTTTCAGGAAACTTATTGTAAAGGGACTGTTTTTATCCCATAAAGACAGGAGTACAGTTGTCAGCTTTATATTACCTGGATATGGAAGGAAACTATTTTTACTCTGCATGTTCTGTCCTAAGCGTCATCTTGAGCCTTGCACGTGATACTCAGATTCCTCACCCTTGCTTAGGAGTAAAACAATATACTTTACAGGGTGATAATAATCTCCATAGTTATTTGAAGTGGCTTGAAAAAGGCAAGATTGACTTTTTGACATTGGATAAAATCTACAGATCAGCCCTCGAGTTATTCAGCAGTAACTGACAAACTAAAATATTTCCCTAGAAAGGAATATGAAAGGAGTGGAGTGTGGTTTGGCAGAACAACTGCATTTCACAGCTTTTCCAGTAAAACTGGAGCACTGAACGTTTAGATGCATACCAGATTATGCATGGGTCCTAATCACACATATAAGGCTGGCTACCAGCTTTGACACAGCACTGTTCATGTGGCGAAACAACTGTGGTTTAAAAACACACATAAAATGCTTTTTAACAGCTGATATTGTATAAGACAAAGCCAAGATGCAAAATTAGGGTTTGATTGGCACTTCTTGAAAAATATGCAACAAATATGGGATGTAATCTGGATGGCCGCTTCTGTACTTAATGTGAAATATTTAGATACCTTTTTGAATACTTAACAGTTTCTTTGAGACAATGACTTTTGTAAGGATTGGTACTATCTATCATTCCTTATGACATGTACATTGTCTGTCACTAATCCTTGGATTTTGCTGTATTGTCACCTAAATTGGTACAGGTACTGATGAAAATCTCTAGTGGATAATCATAACACTCTTGGTCACATGTTTTTCCTTCAGCTTGAAAGCTTTTTTTAAAAGGAAAAGATATCAAATGCCTGCTGCTACCACCCTTTTAAATGGCTATCTTTTGAAAGGCACCAGTATGTGTTTTAGATTAATTTCCCTGTTTCAGGGAAATGACAGACAGTAGTTTCAGTTCTGATGGTATAAGCAAAAGAAATAAAACATGTTTATAAAAGTTGTATCTTGAAACACTGGTGTTCAACAGCTAGCAGCTTATGTGATTCACCCCATGCCATGTTAGTGTCACAAATTTTATGGTTATCTCCAGCAACATTTCTCTAGTACTTGCACTTATCTTTTGTCTAATTTAACCTTAACTGAATTCTCCTTTTCTCCTGGAAGCGTTTATATTCAAAGTGATGATTCCTTCCCTTAGATGCATAGGGAGAGTCTCTAAATTTGATGGAAATGGACACTTGAGTAGTAACTTAGCCTTATGTACTCTGTTGGAATTTGTGCTAGCAGTTTGAGCACTAGTTCTGTGTGCCTATGAACTTAATGCTGCTTATTGTCTCATTCTGACTTCATGGAGAATTAATCCCACCTTTAAGCAAAGGCTACTAAGTTAATGGTATTTTCTGTGCAAAAATTAAATTTTATTTTCAGCATTTAGCCAAGGAATTTTTCCAGTAGGTGCTCAGCTATTTAAAAACAAAACTATTCTCAAACATTCATCATTAGACAACTGGAGTTTTTGTTGGTTTTGTAACCTACCAAAACGGATAGGCTGTTGAACATTCCACATTAAAAAGTTTTGTAGGGTGGTGGGAAATGGGGAATCTTCAATGTTTATTTTAAAATAAAATAAAATAAGTTCTTGACTTAAAAAAAAAAATTAGCTGGGTGTGGTGGCTCGCATTTGTAATCCCAGCTACTTGGGAGGCTGAGGCAGGAGAATTGCTTGAACCTGGGAGGCGGAGGTTGCAGTGAGTCAAGATTGCATCATTGTACTCCAGCCTGAGTGACAAGAGCAAGACTCGATCTCAAAAAAAAAGAAAATAGCCGGGAGCAGTGGCTCAAGCCTGTAATCCCAGCACTTTGGGAGGCCGAGGCGGGTGGATCACGAGGTCAAGAGATCGAGACCATCCAGGTCAACATGATGAAACCCCGTCTCTACTAAAAATACAAAACATTAGCTGGGCATGGTGGTGCGTGCCTGTAATCCCAGCTACTCAGGAGGCTGAGGCAGGAGAATTGCCTGAACCCAGGAGGCGGAGGTTGTGGTGAACCGAGATCGCGCCATTGCACTCCAGCCTGGGTAGCAAGAGTGAAACTCCATCTCAAAAAAAGAAAATAGACTATCTACATAAATGGAGAAAAAATATATATATACCATACTTTGTTAATGAATTAGAATATTCAATTAGGTAAAGATGTTGATTCTCACCCAAAATAATTTATATATGAATACAATTTCGGTAAAAATTCCAAAAATGCTTTTTCCTGTAGAACTTGACAGATGATTCCAAAATTATATGGATGAGTAAACATCTAAGACAGTCAAGATGCTCTTAAAGAACAAGGTGTGGGGACTTCTCTTACCAGGTAAGAGAAGTCAAGATTTATTATGAAGCTCTAGGTAATTTTGACAGTGTAGAATTAGCATAGATCAAGGCATCCGAATAGAGAATAGGCATAGACACAGATTGGAGTGTTCATGGACACTTAATCAGTGATGGAGATGGCACTGCAGGTCACTGGGGGAAGGACGCACTGTTTATTAAGTGTTGTTGGGACAATTGCTTAGTATAGAAAAAAAAGATAGGATTTCTACCTCACACCACATACATGTTTGAATTATAAAACTTTAAGACATTATAGGAGAGGGCTAGGTGCAGTGGCTCATGCCTGTAATAGCAGCACTTTGGGAGGTCAAGGCGGGTGGATCATTTGAGGTCAGGAGTTCAAGACCAGCCTGGACCAACACGGTGAAATCCCCGTCTCTACTGAAAATACGAAATTAGGCAGGTGTGGTGGTGTGCACCTGTAATCATGAGAATCGCTTGATCCCAGGAGGTGCATGTTGCAGTGAACTGAGATCGCACCACTGCACTCCAGCCTGGGTGACAGAGGGACACTGCCTCAAAAAAAAAAGGAACAGAAAGAAAAAAAAAAAGAAAAGGAAAGTGTAGCCCAGGAGTTTGAAACTAGCCTGAGCAACATAGTGAGACCCTGTGTCTTTAAAAAAAAAAAAAAAAAGCAAAGGAATTATTAAGACAAAAATCCAAAATCACTGTTGTGGTAACTCCAGGGGTGGGAAGAAGGAGCATGTGATTCAGCAGCGAAGCAGGGCTGTGTGCAGTGACTCAGGCCTGTAATCCCAACACTTTGGGAGGCCAAGACAAGAGGATCCCTCAAAGCCAGGAGTTCAATACCAGCCTGGGCAACAAAGTGAGATCCCGTCTCTACAAAAAATAAAATAAATTAGCTGAGTATGCTGGCACATGCCTGTAATGCCAGCTCCTTGGGAGCCTGGGGTGGGAAGATTGCTTGAGTTCAGGAGTTTGAGGCTGCCATGGGCTATGACTATGTCACCCCACTCCAGCCTGGATGACAGAATGAGACTCTGTCTCTTTAAAAAAGAGTTCTGGGGCGAGGCAGTGTTTTATTCCATGGATCCATGGATCAACTGGATGTAAGTGGCCACAGCAGCCATAAGTGTGAGGTAGAGAGCAGAGTAAGTGGAAAAAAAACCCACCAACCCTTGAACGTGCTGTACGAGAAGGAACCATGGGAGGAGAGTCGGGAGAGTTTAAGGCCAGAGCAGGAGGTATGTAGTGGGGAGGTGGGTTGGGATGCAGGCTGAGGCACAAGACATTCTGACAGGTTCCCTGATGACCTTGGCTGGAACAGTTTCAGCGGAGACCTGGGGCTGGAGGCCACACAGCTGAGAACTGGAGGGAGAAGATGAAGAGCAGACTGAGAATGCAGACATCTCTGAAAAAGCTTGAGAAGGAGAGAAAGGAGACAGGAGTGTGAGGGGAGGGCATTGGGAGGATTGAGGGCAAGGGTGGGGGTGGCATGAGGGGTGGAGGAATTCCCAGATAGATATTAAAAAGGTCTTCAAGGCCAGGCGCAATGGCTTACGCCTGTAATCCAACCACCGTGGGAGGCCAAGGCAGGTGGATCACTTGAGGTCAGGAGTTTGAGACCAGCTGACCAACATGGTGAAACCCCATCTCTACTAAAAATACAAAATTAGCCAGGCATAGTGGTGCACACCTGTAATTCCAGCTACTTGGGAGAGTGAGGCAGGAGAATTGCTTGAACCCGGGAGGTGGAGGTTGCAGTGAGCTGAGGTCACACCATTGCACTCCAGCCTGGGCAACAAGAGTTAAACTCTGTCTCAAAAACAGAAAAAAAAAAAAAAAATTAGCCGGGTGTGGTGGTGAGTGCCTGTAGTCCCAGCTACTCGGGAAGCTGAAGCAGGAGAATCGCTTAAACCCATGAGGCGGAGGTTACAGTGAGCCTAGATGATGCCACTGCACTCCAGCCTGGGCAAAAGAGTGAGACTCCATCTCAAAAAAAAAAAAGGAAAATTTCAAGGGAAAAAAAGCATTTAAAAAAAAAACACATAACTATAAAAATAATATAAATTACAAAACAACTATTTACATAGCATTTACAATTATTAGCCATAAGTAATCTAGAGATGATTAAAGTGTACAGGGAATATGCGTAGGTTATATGCCAATACTACCTCTTTCTTTTTTTTTTTTGAGATGGACTTTTGCTCTTGTTGCCCAGGCTGGAGTGCCATAGCGCAATCTTGGCTCACTGCAACCACTGCCTTCCGGGTTCAAGCGATTCTCCTGTCTCAACCTTCCCAGTAGCTGGGCTTACAGGTGCCTGCCACCATGCCTGGCTAATTTTTGTATTTTTAGTGGAGACAGGGGTTTCATCATATTGGTCAGGCTGGTCTCAAACTCCTGACCTCAGGTGATCCACCCACCTCAGCCTCCCAAAGTGTTGGGATTACAGGCATGAGCCACTAGCCTAGCCTAATACTACCTGATTTTATATGAGGGACTTGAACATAGAAGGGCTTTGGAGTCCACAGCAGTCCTGAAACCAATCCCTGCTTCCCATGCCTAGGGATGACTGAACAATACGCAGCAGAGAAATGAGTATATTCCAGCTATATGCATGACTCTCAGGAATATAATGCTCACAGAGAAAAGCAAACTGCAGAAGGGTAAATACGGTTGATATATAAAGGTATTAAACACAGAAGGAATTGTTTAATGACATACATATGCAGTAAAAGTATTAGAAATCCATGCAAACTTACCTAAATTCAGGGTGGTAGTTACTTAAGGTAAGGTGAATGTTTGGGATGTCAGGTAGGTACCTGACAAATGGCAACTTTACTTTGTTTTTGTTTTTTTTTGAGACAGGGTCTTGCTCTGTTGCCCAGGCTGGAGTCCAGTGGCAGGATGATAGCTCACTGCAGCTTCGATCTCCAGGCTCAAGCCATCCTCCCTCAGTCTCAGCGTCCCAAGTAGCTGGGACTACAGGTACGCACCCCAACGCCCGCCTAATTTAAAAGATTTTTTTTTTTTTTGGTAGAGGTGAAGTCTTCCTATGTTGCCCAGACTGGTCTTGAACTCCTGGGCTCAAGTGATCCTCCCGCCTTGGCCTCCCAAAGTCCTGGGATTTCAGGTGAGCGCCATCGCGCCTGGCCTGCAACTTCGCTTATAATAATCTGTGTGGTAGGTGTCATTCGGCCCATTTTACAGATTAGGAAATTGAGGCACAGGGAAGTGAACTAGCGGAATTTCAGTTCCGCTTGGTTTTGACATTGAATTAACTGGCTGAACCTGCAAGAGACGGCCCGGCTGGGTCTCAGGCCTCTCCCGGTGCTCCCTTCCGGACCGGTGCGTGAGGTCCCCGAGGCCAGACCTTGTGAAATTCTGCGGCTTCTCTGCAGAGATCGAGATCCTCTCTGGCCCCGCCCTGCGCGTTGGGCCCCGCCCCAGCGGATCATGAATATGCAAGTACCAGGAAGATATTTAAAGGAGCCGGCGCCACGCGCATATCCCTGCCCCGCGTCGCCCGTCCAGTGCCTGTTCTCTGACTGAGGCCCAGCCCCCTTCGCCCGTGCCGGTCACCAGCGTCGCCAGCATGTCTGACAAACTGCCCTACAAAGTCGGTGAGTCCCAGGACCTGCAGCCGGCTGCAGCTGCTCG